ATATATACATATATATATACATATATGTATATATATGTATATATATATATATATATATATATATATATAAAACATATGGTGGCGCTTTGGCCCAGAGGCAATGTCTCTGTCATTGGTGTGGAACCCACAGGAAGGTTCAGGGGGGTTGGTACGGGTATGTGATTTGGGTGGCGATTGCTGCCCCCGCAACCCGGTAACGGATAAGCGGATGAAAATGGATGGATGGATGGATATATTTACATGCATTCGACACAGAAAATATAAAATATTGATTTTTCTTTTAACAAGGACAAAAAAACTGCGTTTTGCGCACCAACAATTTGGCAGGTGAAAGCATGATGGTCAAAAGTGAAGCAGCATTTGGAAACAATACACCGATCTCCGAGGATGGCATACGTGCTGTGATATCTTATCTCAGTATCAAACTACGTAATCTTTACACTCCAAAAAAATTGGTGAAGTTGAGAATATCTCCTTGATTCCTTCTTGGTTTCCGTAGCGTAGCGGTTAGCACACCTGCCTTGGAAGCAGAGAGTGTTGGGTTTGATTAGCGCCTGGTGTCTGCTGTTAACGCAAGAATTTCCCAACTTTACGATCAATAAAGTTCAACTTATTTTACCAAGAATTTCCCAACGTTACGATCAATAAAGTTCAACTTATTTTATGTATTAATATTTGTGTCGTAGCTCGTCATCACGGGAGAATGGTTGGTCCTGAAGCTGGACCAGTTGACAACCGCTATCCTGGAGCACAAACTACTAAGTACTCAACAGACAGTATAAATGGTCAGTATAAAAGCCCTGTTTTTGAACTTAGCGCCGCTAGTGTTAAAATTCACGGTATCGTCAGACCAAATTGTAGGAGCAATAAAGAATTCACAGCACACTTTCTGTGTGGTCTTCATTGCTGTTCACACAAAACATACACTTATTTAATACACGCAAAAACATATACAGTACGAAGTTGCAAGTTACCGATACTTCCTGTGTGTATGTCGTAGTCGAAGGCATCAACTTTGTGAGACAAAGAATCAATGTAATAAAAGATGTTGTGATCCAAGGACCATTCCATTCCATTAGATATGTCCACCTGTGAAACAGACAGGTTATTCATGTCTATTCTATTAGAAAGACTTTACAGAAAGACTCCATTCCATTGGATTGACCCATGTCTCAGGTCAAAAGGTTACTTGGGTTACCGGGCTAAGTAGTTTCGTCACTGTGAGGTCAGATGCCACGCTGAACAGTGCTCCCTGCTGTCTCTCCAGAACTGTAGGTTTCTCCTCCTTTGCCATTGTACCTAAGATATAAGATACGTTTGGTTACTGTAATTTCTGGACTATTGAGCACACCTGAATATAAGCCACACCTACTAAAATTAAAAAAAAAAGAAAAAAGAAATTGTACCTATATAGGCCGCAATTCCCTATAAGCCGCAGGTGCCCACGTTGTAACATGGGATATTTACACAGAAAGATTTTTTTTCTCATCAAAAGTCATTGATCGCTAGCGGTATGACTAAGTGTCTTTATCCGAACAGTGTCAGTAACACGGCTGGTTACACGTTAGCTCTTTCCTGCTTTGGTGCCCCGACTGTAGTTGGATTTCACAGGGGAGACTTAGTGATCTGCTCCAGGGCTGAAGCTAACATTAGCTCCGGGGCTAACTCCGTTCACTTTGTGCTTGTCCACAGCAGAGGTAAACAGAAACAGGGAAGTTGGGGTCTTCATTATCAGCCACTCCAACCACGCGCACATATACGCACACAGCTATTCACAAACAGACATACACTTCTAGTATAACACACAGTAGCCTACCAGAAAAGACATTGATCGCTAGCAGTATGAACTTCGTTAGCCGGTAAAAATCCATGAATTAGCCGCATCATCGTTTAAGCCGCGGGGTTCGTGTTAAAAAAATGTAGCCACTTATAGTCCAGAAATTACGGTAGTTCTTTGCAAGTAGGCGACATGAAATCAGTAAATCAATAATGTGACTAACCTACTAAGAGGCGTCCTGCTGGATCCACTTTTCCATCATTGAGTCTGTTGTTTGGTTTGTCCTCGTCCACCTCTGCCAGTAAGGTAATGTCCTTAGTTGACCAATCAATGGCAACAATGTTGCGACCAATACCGGCCAAGTAACCACCTGAACGGCAAGGGACCACCATGCTCACCATATCATCTGCGGGTAAAGAAATTATAAGATTAGTAGGGCATGAATTTGTAATCTACGGTGATTAAAAATTTCCCTGGACGATATATTATCCCAGAAATTATTGCCGATAAATGATAATATTGTCAGCATTATTATGAGACCTAACCACTAATGTAATGATAATGTATCACAATAATGCAAGTTCATACTTTCAAAAGCCATACATTTTATTTCTCATGAGTAAATTAAATTAAATTAAATTAAATTAAAATAATTTAAATTAAATTAAAATAATTTAAATTAAAATAAATTAAATTAAATATTCCTGCATCCCCACCTCCTCCCAAAAAGAGTGGATGACTGACACAAGGGTTCACTCCGGTCATTCCACTATGGAATAAGATGAACCCTCTTGTCATCCAGCATGTTTGGTGGTGAGGGACGAGAAAAAACAAAAACAAACAAACACGCACATGGCAATCAACTGGCAAAATGATTGACTTCATTTTCATTTATCGTGCGATCAATGGATGGATCAATTGATTATCGTTCCAAGCCTTGGGAAAGGTAAGACATAAAACATATGCCCACCATGCTCCCCCAATCTTTGATGTCGTCTTTTCAATATGGTTCTATGACAGACATGGGCAAACGTAGGCCTGGGGGCCATTCAGATTTTTAATCTGGCCCGCAAAACTTTTCCAAATTATATGATTTATTTATATTATCATTACACTTCCGCCTTTTCCCTGCAATACCCATGTTTCTCCAATAGATGGTGTAGAAAATGATAAAAGTATTTTAGCATTTTAGCCACTTTTACAAGTGATTTCTCTTAGTTCACATGCTTCATTTATCGGCCCCTCTGTTTAATTTTAGGACCAATTGTGGCCCGCTAGTCAAAAAGTTTGCCCACGCCTGGTAATATATACGTATATTTTTTTTCTTTTTAAATTTAATGGGTGTGGCATATATTTAGGTGCGCTCAATAGTCTGCTTTATCCAGTTCCTATAACGTGACAGCAAGATTTTGGCGATAAATGACAGAAAGGCACAGGTAGAAGGCGGGCAGGTGAGAACTGCCAGGTGTCCAATGGGAGACTTCTATCAACAATACACCTGTTTCCAAAGTTTCTATCTGATTGGCTGCTGGATTCCAGCGATGGAGCTTCTTCCCAGCAATGTCCACGAACATCAGTGTCTGATGTGACTCTTCCCATACCGGTCCTTCACCGATTAGAGCGCCCCCCTTCACCACACACTCCACTCGATGTAATGACATGGTGCCCCGCTGAGATGTGTGAATCAATTGGCCCGGAAAATGTACCTGTGAACCCACACGATACAATAAAGAACTTTGTTTACTGTGTCACTACAATGTACTTAAGGATTGTACAGCTAGGTCCTAGACCAGCAGTCCTCAACTTTTTTTGTACCAAGGAGCAGTTGGCCGATAGCAGCCGTTAATGACGATTTCGCGCCACCATTGAAGGCTCATATAGTCCGTGACGCTATGACATAATTACATACTGGCGCATTAAGTTACTTCCCATTTAATAGTGTTAAAAGTGTTAAAAGTGTTAATAGTGTTAAAAGTGTTAAAAGTACGTTAGGATAAGTGCAAACGTTTTTACACTCACCTGAAGAAGCGACTCCCCGCACACCGAGCAGTAAAGCGTGACGAACCCCTACTACTTCCGGTGTAAACAAAACTTTGGACTTTGGTTTTTAATCCATACGTGTGAACTGTGTGCCCAGACTCAACTTGTTGCACCCAAACGCCACATCCAGGGACTAAGTGTAGGGGGGCGTGGACGTAACGGAATCACTAAAGGGACAAACTTTTTGGGAGTGTTGCGTACACAACACAACTGAGGTAGTCACAGTTAATCAGTGTAAAGCAGCAATAAATCTGTTCATGACTAACTGAAGTGCGACTTTTTGTGACTTTCTTAATATAAAGCTTTATTTATTTACCCTGACGTCACCGACAATCTCATTTTTCACCATTTTCGATTTAGGGCTTGATAAAAAAAATATAATAGAGAAGCATATGAGTTTTTTTCCCCAGTGTTACGTAAAGGAGGACTACTGTTTGTCCCTTCTTAAGGGCATATTAGTAAACCATATATTTGAGTAAAGTTTTATACAAAATAATGGTTAAAAAGGTAGTAAGTGCAGTTGTTAATATTAAACACATATCAGTCTGACCCACGTTATATATATACATATATATTCACTTTTTCAAATACATACTTAATTATTCACCTAATTGGTCTTAAAACTATTATTTATTTATTGCAAATAATTTATCTTTGTTCGTCGATGCATGCTGACAGGCAGAACAATTAACTACTTTTGCACTAGATGGCAGCAGATGGCTATGAAAACTGAAAGAAAGAGAATGAAAGCTGTTGAAGATCTTCGTGTGTCTTTCTTCAATTCCTATCAGCGTTGTCTCAAGTAAACAGGCTGAGATTTCTTACTGTGTTAGTAGATTATTTCTGAGTAATAAGGTATGAGTGAAGTATTATTTCATTACATATACTTTTTTTTGGGGGCGGGGGGTTGTTTCTTTTTTCAAATGAGAATTACGTGTCATGGCTCAAAACGGGGTTGGGAAACATTGAGTCAGTATTTGATAGAGGAACAAACACGGAGCCGATACATTTCCTATAGGTGGTCACCAGGTTTTTTGGCCCATTCCTCTTCACAGAAAGTCTCTAAAACCTTTGGTTTTGGTCTTGGCTGCAGCTGGGAAACTTAAGGCGTCAGCTCTCTCCACAGATTTTCTAATGGATTGAGGTCTGGAGAGACAGACTAGACCATTCCATGGCCTTATTTGGCTTATTTAGCTCACGTTGAGCCACTCCTTTGTTGCCGTGGCAGTATGGTTTAGCTCGTTGTCTTGCTGAAAGGTCCTCCTACTATCCATCCTAAGTGTTCTTGCTAATGAAAGGAGGATTTTGTCCTAGTTGTTACAGGGCTCCTTCATGGTCTTCTTAGTGCGGAGAAGTCGCCCTGTAACCTTTTCAGAAAAACAGAAGATTCAAGCCTCCTCTGAGTCATTTAGATGTTCCACTGGCAAACTTAAGGCCTTTGTCGTTGTGGGCACTGCAAGATTCCAGTCTATCACAACGTACTGGGTTGCCAACTGTTTTCTTGTTGACTGAGGTCCTAACTTATGTAAGAAACTGATTCCTAGAGCTAGTGTACATCATACGCATGTTAAACATTTTTAGGATTTTTTTTTTTTAGTAATTGCTTCATTGTGCACACTGTAAAACTCTATAAAATGCAAAACATTTGATAACGTTTACATTGTGGTTTTTTTTTAATGTATTTTGTATGCATTGGGTTTCACCAAAATGATATGTGCCATAAAATGGCTCTATGTGAAAGTGAAAGTCACTAGATGGCAGCAGAGCAACTCATTTGATTAACCTAGTTTATTAATCAGGGGGTTGTATGCACAATACTGGTGCCAGTAAGGTTTGTACAGATGAATAAATATTATATATATATATATATATATAAATATTATCAGGTACTCAATAGTAGTTTCATTTGGGCGGGGGTGTGAAAAAACTTCTGTCCCATGGCAGAAAATATTGAGAAACATTGTTTAACCCATCACCTTAGGGAGCAGGTGGCTCTTATCGGTCTTATCGGTATCGGTCAGAACGCACTGTTTTGTGATTGTGTTTTGTTCATGCATACACAAACACACACACACACACACACAGAGAGAGAGAAAAAAAGCAAAGATAAGCAGCAAATTGTCTTTATTTCTGTTGCTATAACCAAGTCAGCATTCATGATACAGAGACATACTGGAACAGACTACAACAATTACAGGAAGAACCGACAGTAAGGCAGAAGACGAGACAAAGATTTATGGCACTCATGATTGATCTATATGAGGGATAATATTGCTTTTAAAAAACAAACAAACAAACAAACAATCTCTAGCCACTTTCATTGTTGGTTAATCTTAACTCCACTGCACTTTATATATCAAATATATTTCTTTTAGTGACGTTTATTGCTAACGTTGCACGCACCTTACATTAAAAGACTATACAACTTGAATTTGACAGTTGTTCCGTCGAATAAGAATTCCCACAGATAATAACAGTCCACGTTTTGCAGGATACATGGGAGACAGAGTCAGCGTTTTCTGGGACATGCACAAAGGTTTAATGAGGCGAGGGACGGGTGTGAGACAAGGAAGGGGAGCGGGGGGAGGGGGGGCTTTAAAGCAGCGGCTGCGACCGAAGGAGAGAGGCCACAGTTCGCAGAGCCTGTCACACATGCATGTACCAGTGGTATTTTAGATATCGGGTACAATCCTTTATTCTTTTTAAAGCTATACTACAATGCTCTGATCCACAAATAGAAGCTTCACATGCCAACCGTGACCTTTGCTGGACCTGCCATTGATTTATTTTTCCTCCCAGATTTCAAATAAAAATAGCACCATACATACTCATACACACACACACACACACACAAACACACTTAGAGAGAGAGAGAGAGAGAGAGAGAGAGAGTCAGTATGTTTCCATGACTTAAAGTGGGCGTTAAAAATACACGTAAACATGCTAGTTGGACTCAAATAGAACTCAATCTTGCTTCCGAGTCACACTCGCACCACACACCGGAGCTGAGCGCTTCGTGCACGTATGTGTTGATCAGTACCAAATAAGGTGAAATGGCTATGGTTCAATTCCAGGTCTATGTGACTCTTTGGACCCGCGGGCCACAATGGGAACAAAAACTTGACAGGGCTGAGTAAGGGGGTGGGGTGGAGTGGGGGAGGGTCAGAAGCGAGTAGATGGAGTGTTTGTGTGATCCAAGATAAATGACATAAGTTTGGCCTTTTCTACGTCATCTATAGTGGAACATGCAGGCATTGCAGGGGAAAAGGCAGACGTATAATGCTGATATAAATTCATAACATCATTTGGACACGTTTCGTGAGCCGGATTAAAAAGGCCAAACATGCATCCCATCCGGCCCCAGGGCCTTAGTTTGCCCATGCCTGTGCTAGACCGTGTCGGGATTTTAAAGGATATGCTGGCCTGTATAAGGATCCACCTGTTGCAGTACATGGGGCGGATTACATCCGTTTGTGGGTAAACAAGTAAATGCTAAGAATATTGATATCATTACGACAACTTACTTACAACAAAATGCACCCCTACGTAGGCAGAGGCTATCTTATAGAATGGGACCAAAATGGACGTAAGGGGAACAGGAGTGGTGTTAATGGCACAAGCAAGACCTGTATTTCAGTTATCCATCCATCCATCCATCCATTTTCATCCCGTTACCGTGTCGCGGGGGCAGCAGTCGCCACCCAAATCACATTGCACCGTACCAACCCCCCTGAGCCTTCCTGCAGGTGGTGAGTCCACTGGAAGGGACCAACCACCCTAACTGGGATTTGATCTTGCCCAGGAGGTGAACCCTGGGGTTCCACACCAATGACAGAGGACGTTGCCTCTGGACCAAAGCGCCACTGTGTTTCAGTTAGTGGAGTGTAAAAAGGCATTTGTAAGTGCCAGAAAACTGCGACAAACATTTGGATAACGTTCAGGTAATGTTCAAATAAAGCTGAGATGGAAAAAATTTGGTTGAGAGACATCAAGAAACGAGACGCTAAGATGCCCATTCTTAGGGAACGTGATGTGTTAGCAGACAAAAAAAAAAAAATACAAAGGCATGTTGTTGCATCATCTGCCTCTGGTTCATTTATTTGGTTGTTGTTTTGGTCTGTGTGCTATCACAGGTCATCCACATTAGTGACAATGTATTTTGTAAATGTGCTTGGGCTTGGCTGGATGAAGAAGGTCATCTAATATCTTTCCTCAGTCCGGCTGTAACCGCATCTCCGCGCAACAGCGCGTCCGAATGCACTAAATGTGCACAGACAGGACGAGCATTCACACGATTATCTGATCACGTCAGTTTAGAGACTCATGATTATCTTAACACACACACACACAGTTCCATTTGAACATCGATGCATAGCTTGAAAAGCATACGCGAAATTTCACTTCAAAAACCGTACAGTACAGTACGAGAAACTCTCAAGAACGACCGGCCAATGAGGTTTTTTAAGATCAGACATAGACCGGACAGCATCTGTGATCTGGCTTCATGACATCCAGTGTAGCTCGACTGAACATGTCAGGGACTTGCTAAGGTTTATCATCTGTAAAGTCTGAGGTTGATTTTAGCCGCTGCTTGTCCGAACAACCCCAACCAGTCTTCGGAATTTACATCCAATTTTTTTTTTGCTAGTCAAACCATCCTGGATCAAGCAATGCCTGTGTTTTGTGGAGCTTATGCTGTGGTTACGTAATGTATTTTTTTCTGACCGTCCTCTTGAAATGTTCCATAACATCAGCACTCATCCCTTTTCTGCCTACTCCTTTTCCATTTTTTTTTTCTTTCCCTCCACCCTCCCTCCTTGGCCCTGTTGCCGTACAGTCTCTCTTCTAGCTTTCATCCATCCTCCGTTCGGTGGCTGGCAGGCCAGAGGGCTGAGCCAGCCCTCTGCTGCATTATCCCACTGCTGAGTGAATTACTTTGCCTCCATTAAACTAACGAGAATGTACAGAGAGCACAGAGAGTGGGGGGGTGGGTGGGGGTGGGGGGAGAGGAAGGGCTGAGGCTGCAGAGAGATGGAGGAAATGAGAGATGGCGATGAGGAGGACGCAAAAGAGTGGTTAACATTAATCATCATGTAAAGCATGAGAGTTATATAAACACAAATGTACTGATTTACAGATGTGTCCCAGATGTGGCCTGATAAGAGTCACAGTCACAGTGTTGGCTTATTAATGGTCTAGCAAAGGGAAAGGTTTGGACAGGAGCTTTACTGTGTTCATCACATTGGCTCACATTGACTTTGAGCAACAATGTTATGTTGTCAGGTGTATATATATATATATATATACTGTACATATGTATGTATGATTTGAAAATGGGGCACAGCAAGGCAATTTCAAATACTTCATTTATTTGTAACACAGTGGGGAAATCCACTGATTTAGATTTTGTTTAAAGATAAAAGCATTCTTTTGGGAATTGCAATCCTATATGCCAAAAGGGGGCGCTGAAGAAAATGATTTAGATTTAGATTTACCAGAAGAAACAGAGAAGAGAAATGACAAATGTTCAGGGAACTAAATCCACACTATGTACTTTAATGGTGTGCGGTTTCGAAACAGAGCAGTAGATTGTTTTTGTTTGTTGTGGAAAACATTACAGGCCAAAGGGTGGGACGCTACCAAATTCAAAACGTATCCAAAACGGCACTTTCCCCTTTTAAATCTTTCTTAAAGTGATGTAAAAAAATAGATGCACTGATGGACTAGCCAGTGGTGATTACAGATGTAGATGGGGAGAGTGATTTAATAGGTGAGCGAAGGACAAACATGGGTTGGACCGCAGCATGATGGCGACAGCGCAAGGGGACTGGATTGACGACGAAGACGAGGCAGTGCACATAGAGAAAATATATATATATATACAGTATATATATATTATAGTGTCTCGATAAAGCTAAAACTGTGTGTGACTGTGTTCAAATTTGTGTCATATAAATTCCTACATTTTGTGCAAAGCTTACATTGAACGTCATTTATGGTACTTTTACAACTATCATATTGTGAGCGTTACATATGACAACGCCTGCTAACCTATACACTATGCTAACTTGCTAACATATTTTTCTCTTTTCCTAGCGCAGTGTTTCATTATAGTAGTCATAAAATCCTTTGTAGTACTCTAAATTGGAATAGTTCCAATAAAACGAAAACGTAAAAAATCACTTTTGCACTTTTCAACGATTTATTAAGGCTTGAGGAACATACGATGTTAAAGCTAAATATTAAACTATTCGTATAGTGGTTCTCAGTTATTTTTTCTGTCATGCCCCACCTTGAGGACAGAAATGTTTTCGTGCCACACCCCACCCCCCCCAGCAAATTGAAATACTATTGACCCCCTTCCCCCAGCAAATTGAAATACTATTGACAACCTGATAACATGTATATATTTTTATCTGCACAAAACACTGAACGAGTTGCTGCCACCTAGTGACTGGAGGTCTGTTCTCATTCAAGCATAACCATGTCAAGCAAGCCATATTCCATTGAAAGCCCCTCACGCCCCCCCTGGCACCTCATAGTGCTCCCCCAGGGGGGCCCCGCCCCACTATTTGAGAAGTAGTGTTACAGGGAGCCACCAATAACATTCATACAATACTGTAAAAAAAAAAAAAAAAAAGGTTTTTTGAAGCAGCCTTGCCCTTTAGCCTTCAAGTTTACCTAACCTACCTGTATAAACATATGAACATGTCGGCCAGTTCTTACAGTTGCCAGGAGCAACAAAGGGTTAGGGGTCTTGCTCAGGGGCTTAGAGTAACCTTGGACTGAGGGAATTTTGATTTTCAAATGAGCACTGTCATGTCGAGCATTAACTATTACCTTGTACTGACCAATACGAGACCCGTGTGGCAACGACTTCACGCGACACCAAGCTGCTAGTTAATGACGTAATATACATACATACATACATACATACATACATAAATATACGGGGGTTACCTATATCATCACTACACTGAAGACTGTGAGGTATTAGTCCTTCTTGCTGTCCGTGTTATGTACCGTGAGGCAGACAGAAGACTCCGGTGTGACAGACGGTAGCTTTGGTTCGTTATTAATACTTGAGAAAAGCACTGATGGATTATTATGGGAAGCAGAATTGATGGCGGAGAGAGAGAGGTGAGACCAAAAACAAGAACTGCTACTGAGAAGCTGGACTCCTCTAAAAAAAAAAAAAAAACAACCCTGACTTAATGAGGTTACAGCACACGACAGTACAGCAGCAGTAATGAGATGCTCAGATGAGACAGCCCAACACTCACTCACACACACTCACACACAGCCACACAAATGCGAGGTATTGACACATCTTTATCATTCCTATTAATCGTTCATGCAGAAAACTGGTTTTCCTCCACAGCTCCTTGAGACACACGTATTCAGAGAAACACATACATTATATAAATAGTATAAATAATATAAATAGAGTTCAATGCAATTCCTATCGTATTCTAAAATAAAACAAAACACTTTCGAAGTAAAACATGATCAATCAAGAGAGAGAGAGAGAGAGAGAGAGAGAGAGAGAGAGAGAGACACGGTCTCGGGAGTGAGGGATGATTACTCCAAGGTACCTCTCCCTCTGCTCTCAGAGGTCAGTGCACCGCTCCTGTTTGCTGTAGTGGTCAAACTGACTCTTCCAGTGCATCATGTAGGAGGACCAACGGTGGAATTCCACTTTCCACTGGCGTTCGGCTTCATCTATATTGTCTGACAAAAGGAACACACGGGGAAAAGATTAAAACATTAGCGGCTGAAACTCTTAACACCCGCTACTGATGCTCCGCGCTGTGCGTTATTATTGTATTTGAACTCTAAATGATTCAAATTGGACTTCGAGTTTGTTAGTACTGTTACCATCCATTTTCATCTGCTTATCTGTTACCGGGTCGCGGGGGCAGCAGTCTCCACCCAAATCACACTGCACCGTACCAACCCCCCTGAACCTTCCTGCAGGTGGTGAGTCCACTGGAAGGTACCAACCGCCCTAACCGGGATTCAAACTTGCTCAGGAGGTGAACCCTGGGGTTCCACACCAATGACAGAGACATTGCCACTGGGTCAAAGCGTCACTAGTACTGTTACATCCATAAAAAAAAAGATTAAAATCTGCCGCTTACATTCTGATTTTACAAAGCTCAACTATAGCATGTACGAAGAATTAGCATACAGATAACATTGTTTGCGGTTACGTTGCCATCTCCCATAAATGCATTAAGAAGGTCCTGTTTCATCATTCCGACATACAGCATTATAAACTTAAATTTCGCAAAAGAGCTAGATGACGAGCGGAGTGGACCAATGAGTCGTCGTGTGGAGTCATACGCGAACAGACAGCTTGGTTTACAGTCGCCAGTTTGTAGGCTAGTCATTAGATTGCTATGTTTCGTTAGCGCTACGTTCGCTCTCTTTTGTTTAGGTTGTTTTTTTTAACTAAAATTTGAAAAAAAAAATAGTCAAAATGTGTACCGTTTTCTTTTGTTTAGGTTGTTTTTTTGGGGAACTTTTGGGAACTCATTACGACTCCCGAGCGTAAGTCAGACTCTTACAATGTTTTATGTTCAAGATCAGGTTAAAAAAAATTTAAAAACTAAAATTTGAAAAAAAATAGTCAAAATGTGTACCGTTACTGTGCTTGAATCGGTTACATAAGCAACGAACATGTACAATTACGTTGTTTCGGAAAGTCTGTATCAAACAAGTAGCTCTTTGTATTCTACTAAGTTGCCTTGAAGTATCCCTCCGTTTCAAGAAGGTTGGTGAACCCTGTTCTAGATTATGATATTACCATGGTGTTAGGTGAGTGGTACTGCGACTTCCGATGTAGAACGGGTTGTTTTCAACGCTGTTTTCACCAACTTATACTGAGAATTCAGCACCATCAGGAGCCCACAACAATTTGTATTGTACGGTAGAAGCAGATTATTTTACCAGTAATGTTGAGGAGGCGGGGGAGGAAGCGGTTCCAGAAGGCACACATCTGGTTCCTCATACCCTTATGTATCTTGATGGGCTCTGTATTAAGTACAACATGCTTCTGCTCGCTGACTGTGAACACAGGCCAGCGCTTCCTGCTGTCCACCATGCTTTCGTGGTTAAAATTTGGATTCCTGAAAAACAGAATTTATACAAGGAGAAATGTAACATTCAAAAAAAAAAATCACCAGAAAGAGCACTTTATTGACTACGTACAACTTTGCAAAGATATGTTCTAGGGCTTTGATATGTTATCAACGTAATATGCAAACAAGTTCCCTTCCACGTTGAATAGTAATTTCACCAATAAATGCCTGCAATTTTCTTGTACCTTTAGCTTTAATATATATCGCACACCTTACCTATAACATGTAAGTGGTAAGAAAAAAAAAATGCTATTCCGAGTGGAATGAGAAATTCAAGTCAGGAAACTAGTTAGCACTAGCAAAAGAGTTACATCGAAAGGTGCTACATCCAAAGAAGCTAGTTAGCACTAGCAAAAGGACTATGTTTTTTGAACATGCTGCTTAAATATGCTGGTATAATGATCTCTTCTACCAATTGGACGTGTGTTTAATTTTAGTTAAAACGCATACGGCTTTAGGTAGCTACATCTGATGTAGCTACATAGGAAAAAGCTAGCTAGCTAGCTGAAGTGGCTGTATCTGAAGCAGCTACATTTGAAGTAGCTACAAGCTAACAGAGCTACAACCGACACAAGACGCCGTATCTAAAGTTGATACAGATCATCTACACGTGGACTAAAAATTCTTGCTTGATACATGAATTTGACTGATGTATTTAAGAATGTATTTAAAAAAGCATCTAAACAAAAAAACCTGTAAATTGAACTTCACCACCAAAAATACAAAAAATAAAATTTGGCTCTCAATGACAAGTGAAAATCCTACTACGTATTATTGAAGTGCTGATGAACAGTATGTCTCTTCAAAATCTTGAATTAAAAAGTAACGGCTTCTTACCCAGTTCGGGCAAAGTTGGCCCAATACTTCATCATGCGTCGACTGAGCTTCTCCTCCTCCATGGTGTAGTTTAGTCTCTTCTCCAGTGGCAGGCCAAAGACAAACTCGATTTCATAGCCATGGATCACCCCCATCCACTCTGGCCATGCCAGGTTTGATGCACGATGGTCAAACAGATAGAGGTAGACCCCTCCTTGAGGACACAAGAGAGACCTTCTTTAAGTACATATATATATATAATGTTTAGATTTCACGCCATCCAGTAAACAGTGAGACAAGAATCATATATTTAGGATGGCTTAATCTGATACCCAGGTTCGGTATCAGACCAATATTGGTCAAAATTTCCGGATCGAACTTAAAAAAAAAAAAAAAAAAAAACTAAATTGCTAAATGCTCAACTTAACTTTACGCGACTATCCCCTCAGCAACTGCAGCCTGCAGTTTGAGATATTAAGGTATCGGATTGGTATTGGTATCGGCGGATACTCCAAGTTGCCGTATCGGACAAGACAAGGTTGTATCGAGCCATCCCATATGTATACAGTATAGGGCAAATTCTTTGGTGGATGTTTACACTTGACAATAACATCAAACATTTTCCAGTCCTTCTGGTTTTTTTTTTTTTTTTTTTGGTTTTTTTTTTTTTAAATTTAAATTAAAAGGGGTTTTTTATTCCTTTCCCCCAACGAATGCGGCCCATTCAGCTTTTTAATACGGCCCGCCAAACTTTTTCAATTACAGTGGAACCTCAAGATACTCTCCCGACACAAGAGTATTTCACGACACAAGAGTATTTCACGATACGAGCAAGCCAATTTTTGCTTCAAGATTACGTGTACAGATTCAAAATACGAGCACGCATACATACACTGACGCTAGGCGGCCGAGCACTCGGAGCAGCTCACGCCGCTTCACTTGTTGTCGTTGTTGTCGTACTTGTTCGTCGACTCTTCCGTATTGTGTTTGCGTTATCTACGCGATTTTCTCCCTATTTTGTGCGTTATTCTTCATAATAGCGACGAGTCCTAAGAGAGTGAGCGGTAAGGATGGTGGTGAGAAGCAGAAACGCATGATGACCACGCGTTTAAATAAATTATTTATTTTAAATAATTAAATAATATTAAATATATAATATTTATATATATAATATTAATATAGATAATATGTATAATATTAATAAATATATATTTTTTTAAATATTTAAAATAATATTTATTTAACATATTATTTTAATTAGTTACGTAGTGTATGTGTAATGTACGCTACGGAATCAAGCATCTACATACGGGCCAACTCTCTCCGCACATGCCGCCATTAGCCGCTACTGTATCGTCTGTCTCGAAGGTAAGATCTAATAATTAAAACCACACCTAAATCCCTATATACTATAATTTTTTATATACTATATACTTATATACTATAATTGTTTGTTTTTTTTCATTTTTATTAGCACTAATAAGTATGAGTTTTTTTAGACACCAGAACAGATTTTTTTTTTTCCCCCCTGTAATTTCTTATGGGAAAAAAATGATTAGACATACGAGCACCTTGAGTTACGAGCTCGGTCCTGGAATGGATTGTGCTCATATCTTGAGGTTCCACTGTATATAATTTATTTATATTTTCAATAAACTTAGCATTTTCATTTAGCTTAGTCCACTGCGCCATCTATCTGCGCCTGAGCCGGCGACCCTGTTCAATTTTAGGATTGTGGCCCACGAGTCAAAAAGTTTGCCCACGCCTGGTCTAAACTAAACATTAGGTGAGTTAGGAGACAGTTAAGAGTTGCTGTTCTCTCACTGTAAATTCCTTCGTTTTTATATGTGAATTTAGGGACTTAGACTTTAATGACATACGATGAACGTTTGTTATAAATGTTACACCTCCGTTTAATACATATTGGACAGTTAGCAAAATGGACAAGATATACAGATTCTGTCCATTTCTTATTAGAAGTCAAGAAACACAAAACATATAAAACGGGTTGGAATGAAATAGCCCTCAGTTTATTCTGTTGGTTTTATCACCAAGTTCAAACAAATCTATGAACCCAGATAGTTCTGTCCATTTCTTATTAGAAGTCAAGGTTTGTTTGTTTTTTTTTTTCCCAATAAATGTATTTTAACAATGGGTTTCTATTGCCATTAATGCATTCCCATTTATTATCATTCTTGCATACACATTTATTATTTATGTACCAAATATGAACTTTTAAACACTTGGGTGCTTACCTTGTGAGTTTCCCCCGCTGTTCACCAGTCCTGAGCCTAGTCCACCAACGTTAGCTTTCAGTGCATTATGCTGGGCATAACTGCGGGCAAAGTGAGTGAGCGGGCAAATGACATTGTGGTCGCCCACAACGTCATCCATGGCATCCCGGTTCTTAATACCGTTGTTTTCATCCATCCAGTCGGTGTACTGTAGCACCACTGCTTCAAGACCAATATCATTAGCATGTGGAACACTGAGCTTGACACCTGTCAAAGAAGAATTAAGATACATTGATATTTGCGTTTTGTTTTTTTTGTTTTGTTTTTTTCATTTTGATTATCTGAATTATTTAAATAATAAAATAAACCAAAAACTCTTTATTTGGTGATGTATGACAGTCTTCATTTAAAAACGAAATCAAAAAACAAATTTGGGGATTTTAATGATAGCAATAGCTTTGGCCCTTGGTCCGGGCACAGAAGCAGGAAAGAGCTAACCAGTGTAACCAGCCGTGTTACAGGCACTGTTTGGAAAAAAACAAACAAACATTTATTTAATTAAAAAAAAGAAAATATCCCATTCTGTGTAAATAGACCACGTTACAACGTGGACACCTGCAGTTTATAGAGAAGTGCGGCCTATATATTTACAATTATTTTTTTTCTTTTAAAAATTTAGAGGGTGCGTCTTATATTCAGGTGCAACTTTTATGTAGCTTATGTCCAAGATTATGCTCTCCCCCAAGCTAGGTAAAAGCCATTACATTGAACTCAATGATTGTCATTCATTGTCAAAATATGGAATTTTGACAGTTGTTCATATCACTAGAGAGCAACGGTGTACGCGTACCACAGTTTGAGAACCACTGTTTTTAATGCATTTGTACCTTCTAAAAAGTCCTCTCTGGATATGAGACTTTCATTATCTTTGCTGAAACCTGGTGCGCCATACAGCAGGAAATAGGTGCCCTCATCCTGGTTGACTCCAAGTAGAATCTGAGTGTCTTTGAAGTTGCCTGAGCTGAGCATCGCCTCTGGGCTATCAGGCAGGACGTCCTCGTCCACGACGGGAACAAATGAAAATCGGAAAAGGGCCGACCACGGTAGAACCTGTCCACAGGAAGTATAGAAACCATCCTGAACTTATGAACAGATGAAGTCAATGTGTCAAAAACACCATCAACTATACCCCATCCAAGACTATTCAACAAGCATACACCATAATTTCTGGACTATAAGCTACTTTGCTACTTTGAAACACGCGGCTTAAAAACAATGTTGCGGATCATTTACTGTATGGATTTTTACGGGCCGACGTAGTTTATACCGCTAAGAATCAATGACTTGGTAGGCTAGGTGTGTTATACTTCAGGGATACTTCTTGTACTTTTTTTTTTTTACAAATATCAGAGTAGTTGCTAGGTCAAATTGGCTTTGTTTTATTTCATATTATTTATTTATTGTGTATTTGTTTTTTTTGTTTGTTTTCTAAAGGATTGTAGAGTATATTTTGATTCCCATTGCCGATGACCTACATGACTCAAATGTAGGAAGGAATTTGAATAAACAAAGTCCGCGAAAACAAATCAGACCAAAAAAAAAAAAAAATCAACGCAAAATCTGAAAGAATGAGAATCTACAATTTCAAACAAATAGCTTCATGGCTAAAAAAGTATTAGAAAGTATTAGAAAGTACAGATGGCTCAACACAACTTTTTTTCATGTCCAATAGCGAGACTATTGCAATTTTGAACATCTCTACATACAGTATACGGTGTGGTTCCACAGTGTAGCGGTTACCATCATGTCCAATAGCGAGACTGCAATTTCGAACATCTCTACATACAGTATATGGTGTGGTTCCACAGTGTAGCGGTTACCATGCCCACCTTACACATATCGCATACTTGGTGCTTCCAAAGGGCTAACACAACACAACGTTAACGTTAAGAATTTTTAAAGTACAAATTATTATTATTATTATTATATCAGTGGCGCTTTGGCCCAGAGGCAATGTCTCTGTCATTGGTGTAGAACCCCAGGGTTCACCTCCTGGACAAGTTCGAATCCCGGTTAGGGAGGTTAATACCTTCCAGTGGACTCACCACCCGCAGGAAGGTTTGGAGGGTTGGTACGGTGCAATGTGATTTGGGTGGCGACTGCTGTCCCCGCAACCCGGTAACGGATAAGCGGATGAAAATGGATGGATGGATTATTATATCAATCTGCTACATTCGTTCTTCCTCCAACATGCCACAGGCTGCCATTGCTGAGGCTTTCGTGCCCCTGTGTACGGTTGCGCAAATATGTTGAGCATTTGGGCTTAGATAATCAGACGGGCTATAGATGTTTGGATGTTCTATAACTAGATTCTGACCAATATTGGAGTGAGAGTGATTGGAGTATCTCTTTTAAAAAATAGAAGATTTTTAAGGCTGACAGGTTGATGCCCTATATTGCTATTAATACAACAACCGGCTGCATTTGCTGCAGTGCGAAAGGAAATTTCCCTACCTCTTTACCCCATTAGGCTTGTAAGTCGGATGCATCGTGAGATGCCAGTTTGCTAGCACTAACATGCTAGGGGTCTGTACGTGTCTGTATTGAGCAGCTGTGTTTCTTATATCAAGGACATCATTTTTTTAAACCCCACTTTTCTGTTCATATTGCATCCCAAGGCTGTAACAAACAAATAACCAACTGCTGACTAAAAGGAAAGACTACCTGCCACCCCTGGGCAGAGTGTTTAGATCAGCGGTGCCCTGTGTAATTAGCTCTCTTAATTAAGTATGAGCATGTTTAAATCTCACAACCTATGACCAGACATGTTTCAGGTCAGAGCCCCAACCTCCCCTCCCCTCCCCTCCCCTCCCCGGCCCCCCTGAGCAGACAGGTCTGGGTGGCTGGGATCAGATGACAAATGAGCCAGTAAACAGTAAACAACACTGACCTCATTCGAACACAGCAGCCTGTGACTCCAACACACACTCTTGCTAAGGAGTGAACTCTGCTGTGATTGCTCAAACAGTGTTAACTGTATCGGCCAAATTCACTATTCCTCGTTCCTCGTCCACTATGTGGACATACAGACTGTGTCATCAAAACTACAACTATATTAAAGTAAATTCCTGACAAAAAAAAAAAAAAAAAAAAAAAGTAATAGAGACTAACCTGTTTTGGGTTTCCACCAAAGAAAACGATGTTGTCTTGTACCCACTGCAGTGCCATTCTTTGGTCCAGCAGGCCCACATTGCCAGGAGCCTCAGATGAGCCATGCAAAGCCAGGAAACCAAAAGCACCAATTCGGTAGTTCATGGACACCACAATGACAGTCTCACTGTGAGCTAGGTAACGCCCTTCGTACACATCAAGTGAGGAAGAACCGCTATAGAATCCTACAAATGTTAAATATGACAGCAGAGTCAGAACAACAGGCCAACAACATTTACCACAGCCACTGCTATTTTGAAATCGTACTCATATTTCACCCCTAAGAAGCACGGACAAACACCTCTGGCTTTTGACCACAACGGTGTGTTGAGAGGTATAAGGTTCTCGAAAGTATTGCTACGCAAACCATTTCGATCAGTGGGAGCTGTTGTCAGTGATGTTCACAACCAAGCTTAGGTTATCAAGAGTACTGTGGCTTGTACCACATCTGATTACTAAAAACATCAGAGTAAAATGTGTAATAGATATATAGATAGATAGACAGACAGACAGACAGACAGA